TATTGCCATTCTTACTTCTTGTTCTTGTTCTTCTTCTACATTTAGACTGCTTAAAACTCGTTTTGAATGATGAGAATTTGAGTTCAGTAAACAACTGTGTTTCTTATCTTTTCTTCTTTTATTCCCTTTATCAATATTCTTTTGTGACCACTGAATCTCTTGACCATTAAGTAGTTTATGATAAAGATTAAAAATAGATACAAAAAAACCACTGCTTTCGGTCCTATCGAGAAGACTTCAGAAGAAGAAGACTTCACTCTAATGAAAGCCTTTGTGTTATAAATTTTGAACATTTAATTGCAAAAAATGTTGTCATTAAGAATCAGAGCATTGTTATTTAGTAAAAAGGAATTTGAATATTTTTTTTGTTTTACTTCGTTTTTTTTATGTTATTTTAATTTTTCTAATTCTCGCGCGCATTCTCTATCTAGCAAATGCTTGCTCAAAATTGATTTATATTTCATCATTTTCTAACACTTTACAAGAGAATGACACACCAAATGCGTTCTACCAAATYAAAATTATAAATTATTTCAGGAAATTGAAATGGAGACACATTAATATCGTTTAGACTCTAACTCAAAGTTTAATGATTATTGACGACTCGCAAAGAATAAATAAAAAAAATTGAGAAATCAATTGACATTTTTTCCTGAATTATTTCCAATCTAATATGACAGGTAAGATTAATAGAACAAAYGAGCGCACTAAATACAATTTTGTTATGTGACAAGCAATAAGATATAGAAACGATTCAAGAACTAATAACTTCTTAAATTTGAAATTCAGTTTGGGCTGAAATCTCAAGTCTTTTAGTTCTGATTATCATTCAACAAACCGTAAGCTAGTGGGATTAATGTCAAGCTACGCACGCTTATATTATAAAAAGAAATTTAAACTATTTTAGCCGCAGCTACCTCCTACGTCGTTCTTAATAGTAGAGCAGGAAATAACCTATTTTTATCGAGACATTATCCTATTTTCCGTTATGATATGTTAAAGTTAAGGAAATTCAGATCGAATTTATCGAAAGCTCAGTAAGATCTATTTGATGCGGAGTGAGATGTTAGGATATTTTTTCGAAAGTTTTTTTTTTAATTTCTTCCCATTTTCCTTTTTTTTCCTATTTTTTTTCCTATTTTTTTTCTATTTTAGTTTTAATAAAAGATAAATATTTTGGCCAGTTTTTTTTATGCCTGTACCAATTATTTGGCTAAATGCAGAACAGCTGGCAAACTTTGTTGAGAGACTCGCATCATTTGCATCATGGGTATTCTTTTCGCTATTTTCCTCCGAAATAAGATTGCGAGTGCAAAAGATCATGCCCATTTAGCCGTTATTCAAACGCAATTATAAAATACATGCCGTTTTCCAATGTATTGAAGAATACTGTCATATATGTTATAACGGTCAGAATTTCTTTAAATGACTCTCTACGAATCRTTCAATTCATGATTTTAGCCTTGGAAAAGTTTCGTCATCAATTTTGAGAGGTCTAGTTTCTTGAAACTGTATACACTAAGTATATAATGATTAAAACAGAGATTTCGAGCCAAAAGTTGGTCTTCTTCTACTTATAAATTAAMGCTTTATGTCTTCGCAAACGGTTTTTGAATAGGTCTTATTTCAACTTTCAAAACTAAGTGAAAATACTCGGTCATTTTTGATGTTATCTTTGCAGGAATTGTGGAATCAATTACAAGAACAGACTATACTATCAAATGTATCTGCATTCAACATTGAATTTGTTTTGGGAAAGTTTTGTAGCCGATCTAAAGCACGAAGAAATAAGAAATAATCGATTCGTCAGTGATTAGTGATAAGTCAAATTTCCGTTGCCGCCAAACTGAAGCATACTCGACAGGACGCGTTTAAGACAAAGGAAAAAGGAAGAAGAAATTCCCTCGTTTCCTTTATGTGAAAGATAGTTTTTCAATTAAACACAAGTTGTTTCAGCTAGCAAGATATATTTATTTACTGTCTGTGGTATTAGAGCTGTAGTTCTGTCATTATATTGCCGATTAAAGCTTTAAAAGACAGTTTTTGTTGACTTGAACTGGCGTTAACTAACTTANGTTGTTGTTGCTGTTGTTGTTGTTGTTGTTGCTGAAGTTGTTGTTGCTGTCGTTGTTGTTGTTGTTGCTGAAGTTGTTGTTGCTGATGTCGTTATTATTATTATTAATATTGTTGTTATTGTTGATGTTGTGGTTAATGTCGTCGTTGTTGATATTGTTGTTGCTGTTGCTGATGTTGTTGTTGCTGATGTTGTTGTTGTTGCTGATGTTGTTGCTGGTGTCGTCGTTTTTGTTGTTGCTGATGTTGTTGTTGTTGTTGCTGAAGTTGTTGTTGCTCATGTCGTTGTTGTTGTTATTACTGATTATTGTTGTTTTTATTGTTGTTGTTGTTGTAGTTGTGTGTTTAGAGTTGTGTTGTCTTATTGTTGTCTTTCCGCCTTTTTCATCATCTAAATGAAGTTTAAATTAAAAAAACTAACTTGTTTACAATGATTTAAAGAAAGATAAGATCATGAATTAAATGAATGAGATGTCTTCATTTTCTTATTTATTTATCATTATTTTCAGAGAAAGACAGTCGCCTTTGGAAACAATGGAATTACAAAAATTAATATTTTACCATGTCTCCATCTTTGGAATTACATTATTACTTAGGATTTTTTTCAAATCAAATATTTAAGCTAGTAACGTACAAAGAAAAATGAGGCCTTAGAGGTATTTATTTCCGAGTTTTCGTCGAGCTTCGTTATCAGCACGAGTGAATTGGCTCCACATTTAGCTAGGACTAAAAATATTTATGTCATGAGTGTTTTATGTCGACAATTTTATTTCTAGTAATAACTATTGCAATCGCTAAATATTGCTTGTAATAATTGAATTAAGTTGAGACAATAAATAAAGCATATTTATTRGACATTATAATATTAATGAGTATTGCTTTAAAATGTTTTTTGATATATTGTTATATTTGTTCTACATTTTAGTATCCACAAACAATGGATTATTACAAATCCAGCATTCTAATTGGCTACAGAATAACGATATATTAATAAATAGGCCATAGATGATTTTCTGAGATGGCAGTTTGCATTGCATTGTGGTCTAGCTTCAGTACAAACATCTTTTGTTCATGCTGCCAAATATGGCGTTGCTTGTAGTGAAGCTATAGACCACAATGCACTATTATTTTGTATTTCAGAAAAGGTCTATGGTCACATCGTTTTTCTTGTTCCCTTGTGGATACTAAACCAACTGAAACAACAGTTGAGTACATTAAATGAGTACAGTCTCATGCAT